ACACAATAGAAGTGAACTGGTTAAGTAAATAACTTCAACTCTCTTGTTGTCTTTAGGTAACTTTGACCTCATTTCAAAATTTATGATGTCATATATAATATGTATGTTTTAGAATAATTTATGCAAACTAAAGTATTATTACATTACATTCTTGTCAAATTATGGCTGTATTTGTTGACGCATGTGTTGTAAATTCTACTCTTGGAAAATTGAGAAATTTAGGTTAAAAAGGGGGGGGGGGGTAAGTCTTTTCTTAATTGTTGAACTGACGTGGAACAGAAAACGTGCAGAGTAAATACAAAGAAAACAGGAAAGCAATACAACTCCAAAATATTCTGAATCGTTTTACAAATTAAATGCTTAAACAAAATTAATAATATGTAGAGAGCATAACCCCTCTCCCCCAGGAAGTGACATCAAAGGGGAATGTTTTAAGAAAAAGGACTTCCTGGTTTTTGTTTATTGAAACAATATTGTTTGAACTCTGACTCGTCTTCATCTCTCTGATTAAAAAATCAAACTAATCTAAAGAAACATCAGATTCTTCTCTATAGTCTGTGTTAGCCGTTGTAGCAACGCTCTATTCACATGCAGACATTCCCCTTTGACATCACTTCCTGTTTCTTCACACGCAAACATCTCAACAGCCGTTCATCCCAGCAGCATGAAATGTTAGTTCCAACATGTTTTCAATGTTATCCTTGCAAAAATACATTCATATTTCTTACAAAGACTTGGTGTCACAGGCACTTTAAAGCGTAAGAACAGTGACACCTTCACTTTCTGTGTGAAATCGATGTTGAAGGAATGCATTGATGGTTTTTTTTCTCACATTTTCTCTAGATTTACAACCTGCCAGCTATATTAAGCAAAAAGGAGGAGAGTAAGTGTGTTTTTCAAACTTTTTTTATCAATAAAATACATGTAATTAACATCAGAGTTGACAATACGTCAATGACAAACAGGCTAGCTTATAACCTGTAGCTACGTGGGCTCATTAAGACAATTATTTGACATTCGCCCACTCAGCTGACACAGTAGAGCCTTCCAGCACCGGGGCTGCGTCCTATTAATCTTGTTAGATTGAGCGCAGGCATAAGGGAAAGCTGATTATTAACATGATGTGTAGTTAACCCAGCTGCTAATTGACGTGTCAACCCTCCTCCTGTGTTATATTTCAGCATATCTTAATGAGGCGGGTTTTAACTTCGTAAGGAAATGCATCGACCTGGTCGAGAAGAGAGGTGAGGCCTTTATGTGTCGGATTATTTGAACACAGCCTGATCATCGTTGTCAGTTTGCTTTCTTTTTTTATTCGTAACATTTATTAACACACTTTGCTGTGACTTCACGCTTTGTTTTTTTTTTTTTATAATAACACAGGGATAAGCACGATGGGGTTGTACAGGATCGGAGGGGTCAACTCCAAAGTGCAGAAGCTGATGAGCACAGTCTTCTGTAAGTAACAACTTTGGAAGTTGTGTTCGGGGCGGAGGTTCAAAACAAAATCTCATTTAATATAACAAATGGTGTGATGTCTTCCCACATGTTTCAACATAATGTTCCAAGAAATTCCAAATAGCAGTCATAAATGAATATATTAAAACAGGATTGGTCTTTAAAGGCATGCATGGCTGCTTTGAATGTTAAAAGTTGTAAAGAAAGTGTGTCGAGCCGCATCATCTGCCTTTCATGACAGCAGGCATTACAAATATGACGAGGGTTTTCATTTTTTGTTATTACTCACTTATTTTATTGACTGATTGTTTGCATCAGCCAGTTTTTTTTAAGCTAACAAATTAGAGAATTTAAAGAATTGCCGTAGATAATTTTGACAAAATGATCAAGCTCTGACATTTCTAAAAATAAACATGTGCATAACGGGAACATAAACAGTATTCACATCGGAAAAATATTTTTAATTCATTTATTGCTACAATTACAGTGAAAATATGGCATGAATATCATATATAAATCAGAACTGACATATGGAGGTTATTAAAGGACCCAAATCTGGTGTTGTGTGACCCACACCGGAGCCCCAAACCCAACTTGAAGACGCACTTCTCTGATGTCTGAACACTGTTTGTTATCATGAGTCCGGTGCCTCACTGTGTGTTCAGAGTGAGGGAAGAGCTCCTCTCTGTGGTACGACAGTTTAACAACATTATGCTCTCATATTTCTTATCACCTTATTAAATTACTGTAATCTTGTTTACATACATTTCAAACATGTGAGGGAAAATAAAGTGAATTAAATGCACTAGCACGTACTTATATCTTTTTTTAGATTCTATCTTTTTTTTTGGCTTAGTGTTAATTATCTCACACATCGTTCCTCCTCTTGACATTAAATATGTTTCTTATTTTATGATTTAAAAGATGTGTTGATGTAAAAGAGAATAACACTCAAATGTGTTGTCAACAGCTTCGAAGGCGCCTGCAGATATGGAGCTGGATCCTGAGATGTGGGACAACAAAACTATCACCAGCGGTTTGAAGAATTACCTCAGGTCAGCTCGCCCCGCAGGCTGCGTGTCCATAACTGGCAGGAGTCATCGTTGCCTCCATTAAGCTTCTCTGAAACCCTCCCCTGCTGTTAGTCGTGCTTCCAGTGCATCACTGACTGGCAGAGCGAGGTGGCTGCGTTCAGAGGACTCTTGTCACCAAATAACAGTAAATCACAACTGTTCTTTTTTTTCCCCCCCTTTACCAGATGTCTGTCTGAGCCTCTAATGACTTTCAAGTTCCACAAAGATTTCATCCTGGCTGTCAGTAAGTTTGACAAAGTTAAAGTTATATTTGGTGCTATGCTAACATTTAACAATTAATATGTTGAGTTTGTTTTCTCCTTCCTACTGTTTCTACCACACCATATATATGTATTAAAAAAAACAATTTAGTTTTTAGTTAGCCTATTGCAACATTTAGCTTCTGGAAAGCCTTTTGCTACTTTTAGGTTTTAGCTAACCTTTGGCTTTTGCTACTTTAAGCTATCATTTTGTTACAATTAGCTTTAAGCTCTCATTGTCATTCTTTTAGCTTTTAGCTAGTTTTTCTCATTTAGTTGTTCTTTTTTGCTTTTATATTCTGTTCTACTTTTTTTGGCTTTTAGATACTGTTTTAGTCCATTTTAGTTTAGTTTTTTTTTTCTTTTTGTTTCTTTTTAGCAAATATCAGCAATTGTTCAGTCATTAGCATTTACTCCAGGGATATACAACTGGTGGCCTGCGGGCCACATCCGACCAGTGGGTGACTTCCATCTGGTCTGTCAATTAGTCTCTCTGTCTTCCCCCAGTCAAAAAATAAAATAAAAAAAATAAATTTTATATATACATATATATATATACAGTATATGTATATATATATAATTTTTAATTTCTGTTTTTATGTAATTTATTAAAAAAATATATTTCAAATCATTTGTAAATTTAAAACGTATGTTTCAATGCAAAACCCCACTAATAGGGGTGGATGTCAGTCCAGCTGTGGGCATCAGGTAACCCCGGCCCTTGGACCAATTTAGTTGAAATGCCCTGGTTTACTCTGTGTTTCCCAGAAAATGCAATTTTTCTGATTCACTGTACTTTAATCATGAATTGAGCCAGAAACCTGTGATATTATTTTTGGGATGTTTGTGGGTAAATGTGTTTTTTTTTTTATGCTGAAAAGATTTGAATTTAATATAACTGAATATTCAGTGTAACGTTTTGTGTATCTGTGCTTACCAGCAAGCAGTCTCTTTGTGGAGCTCCATTCAGCTACAAAAGAGAAGCAGAAATCAAACGAGCAATAATGGAAACAATTAAATCACTTTCATCGGAGGAATAGTTCCAAGCTGTGTGCTTCATATCTGTCTCATCTCATTCTCAACTCAGAAGTTAAATTGGTTCCATTTTTGTCTCTCTGCACAGCTGGATAGCTTTTTGAATTTAATGAGAAAAGCTGGTCTTGAAGCTGCTCAAAGACGACTTTATGCATATTTTAATGTTTAACAAGAAGGATATTAGTAAAATACCTCTTTTAGTTATTTACTTACTTGTACCACATATTTCATATGTAGTGAAATTTATGATTATAATGAATGTGTTTATCTTGTCCTGTAGTGTGTGTAGTGTTGCTAGAGATTCAGCAGCCTTGGCTTTTTTTAAATTGAACTTTGTAGAACACCAGTGCTTATTCTCTCTGTGCTGATTCTGTGGTAAAATCACTGCAGCCATTGTTACACCTTCCATAGTTCCAGAGAGATTAGTGGTTGTTTCTGAACCCATCTCAATAGTAACACAAAATAATATTTTTCCACAAAGTCAAACATACAGCGGGTAAAATAAGTATTGAACACGTCAACATTTTTCTCAGTAAATATATTACTAGAGGTGCTAATGACATGAAATTTTCACCAGATGTCGGTAACAACCCAAAACTAACAAACTAGTTGCATGCATTGCTCAGGTG